TTGAAAAATAATAATTGCGATTTCATTGAGGTTCAATTAGACTCTTTATTAGGTATTTCGGAGATTTTAAATGGATCAAGTCTATCTTTGAAAGGCATCATCGCTGAGGACATTAGGAAAGTTAGCTTGGTTTTTTCTAACATTTTTTTGAATTGGGTTAGGCGGCCAGCGAAAATAGTTGTGCATGTGTTAGCAAAAGTGGCTGCTTCTATGTCATAGCTGTGTTTGGTTATCTTCTCCCCAAGCTGTATTGTGAATGATTTGTGCTTCAATCTTATTAATGATAATTAAGTAGTCTTCTTAAAAAAAACAATGGCTAAACTTAAATGTTTCTATATGCTTAAGAAAATATTGTATTGTATTGTGATAATGATTCATAATCACTTCTCTTTATTACATGCTTCCGTGTTGGATTAACAAATTAAACAACATGATATGCTCCTTTAAATTATGTCCATTAAAAGTGTGAAATTTTGATTTCATGCATCACATAATAATAATAGTAATAAAAATAATAATACTAATAATAATAATAATAATGATAATAATAATGATAATAATAATAATATCAGTAACCAAATTGTATTGTATTATTCTTGGATTTATCTCAAGCTAATTTGACAAAATTTAATAACTTATTAGATAATCTAAGAGTCTGAGAGCCCGTTTGATGACTCTGAATTGTGTAATAATAAGAAAAAGTAAGTTTGAAATTATTTTTCTGACTGTATTGGCCAAACTTACTGTAAAAAAATCATTTTAGCTATTTTTCTACTCCCCGTGTCCTTTAAAACTTTGTTTTAAGGGAACCAATAAAGTAAAAACTGTGTAGTTGAATTTTATGCGGATGAGAGAGAATTAACTGAAACCACAAATTGTTTACTTAAAAAGAAAGTAGCAAAATTAATGAGACAAAAAATGGAAAGATGATAAAGTTTTAAGGGACATAAGGAGTATAGTTTTTTGTTTATTTTAATAAAAAAGAGATTTTTTTTAAATAATACTAACTATCTTTCATGAATCAAGAATAATACATATTTTAGAAATAACTTTTAATAATATCAACTATATGAAGGTAAGCCACAAATAAAATAGTCACTGTTCTACAAGAAACTCAACCATTTAAGACATCACAAAATTATATCAAATCATCAAATAATTGATATTGGGAAATATAGTCACTTATTTGATATTTTGGTATTGGTCTTTGATGAGTTAAATAAATGCTTTTTAGTGAAAATTTGCTACATATCACTTTTGATATATATTCAAATAGTTGGTATTGTTAAAAGTTGTTTCTAAACTTCGTATTATTTTTGGTTCATGGAAGATTGTTGGTATTGATTGAAGTTATATTCCCGTAACACAATATACTATCAGTATTTTAAATTTAATTTTTTCATAAATCAGCAGAATCAACCAATACAGCTACTTCAACTAAAACTTCACACATTTCAGCAGAATTAGTCAAAAAAGTCGATTTGGATTTTACCACATAGGCTTTGAATTTTTGTAATAATTTTATTATCCCGTGCAACGCACGGGTTAAAAACTAGTAATAATATAAAGTAACAAGGTAGAGAGCAGTTCACATCAGGAGCTCCTGAAAAGAAGTCCCATGCGGACAAGCCCATCAGAGGGTCTTCCCGGTGGAATTTTTTGATGAAAATTTTTGAGCATGTTCTTCATCAAGTCTAGTTTGTCCATACCAAAGTTCAGCTCAAAATTTGATCGGGAAGGCAGTCAAATAAATCCTGGAAACCTGTGGCTCATTCTGCGCACATATAAAGTGCAGTATGTTTCCAGGATTTATTTGACTGCCTTCCTGATCGAATTTTGAGCTGAAATTTGGTATGGACAAACTAGACTTGATGAGGAACATGCTCAAAAAATTTCATAAAACAATTCCACCGGGAAGACCCTCTGATGGGCTTGTCCGCACGGGACTTCTCTTCAGGAGCTCCTGATGGGAACGGGACTCTAACAAGGTGTATCACTTTGATTTTCCCTCCAATTAGACATTTAATGCTTCATATCTATTAAAAAATAAGAGTTACATGAATATTAGAGTAATTGGAATATTTTCAATTCAAAATAATAATAATAATATTGATGATGATAATCTATCTATCTATCTATCTATCTATCTATCTATCTATCTATCTATCTATCTATCTATCTATCTATCTATCTATCTATCTATCTATCTATCTATCTATCTATCTATCTATCTATCTATCTATCTATCTATCTATCTATCTATCTATCTATCTATCTATCTATCTATCTATCTATCTATCTATCTATCTATCTATCTATCTATCTATCTATCTATCTATCTATCTATCTATCTATCTATCTATCTATCTATCTATCTATCTATCTATCTATCTATCTATAATAATATAAAGTAACAAGGTGTATCACTTTGTTTTTCCCTCCAATTAGACATTTAATGCTTCATATCCATTAAAAAATAAGAGTTACATGAATATTGGAGTAATTGGAATATTTTCAATTCAAAATAATAATAATGATGATGATGATATAAATCTATCTCTCTATAATAATACTTCGTATAAAGTAACAAGGTGTAGCACCTTGTTTTTCCCTCCAATTAGACATTTAATGCTTCATACCCACTAAAAAATAAGAGTTACATGAATATTGGAGTAATTGAACTATTTTCAATTCAAAATAATAATAATAATGGTGATGATAATAACCTATCTATCTATCTATAATAATAATATAAAGTAACAAGGTGTAACACCCTGCTTTTCCCTCCAATTAGACATTTAATGCTTCATACCCGTTAAAAAATAAGAGTAACATGAATATTGGAGTAATTGGAATATTTTCAATTCAAAATAATAAAAATAATGATAATAATAATAGTAGTAATAATAATAAGAAAAAAATAATTAAAATGCCCCAAACTTTGAAAGAGTGTGAGATCAACACCCCAAACTTGCATATGTAATTTAAATACCCCAAACTTTATTGAAATTATAATACTCATTAATATTTGAAAGAATGACTAAAGTATTATTTGGGGACTTTCAAATGACAAAAATAATCTCAAGTTTTAAATTAGACAAAAACGAGAGTAAATATTGACAAATGGACTGCAATGCCCTTAATTAAATCAGCCCAATCAAGTCTTTTCTACTCAAGCCGTCTGCGACTCTGTTCCATCGACACCTCCTGCAGCGTAGAACTCCCCAATCGCAGGTCTCCTCCAGCGCAGATCTCCACCGCCGCAAGCGCGGATCTCCACCGCCGCAAGCGCTGATCTCCACTGCAGCAAGCGCAGCTCTCGCCTCCGCAACTACTCAGTCTTCTTTTCCTTTATTATGTCCGCAATCTGCCGTTCTCCTTCAACTTTCTTCTTCGTCGAAGCTGCTCAGAGGGCCGATGGACAGCCGCCGTCGTTGGAGGATCTCATGGATTGGGGAAGGCAAACTTCATCGATGATGTTGGCAACACTCTCACCGTGGACTACCGGCGGACAAGAGCTCAAAGCAGTGGCGAGAAGCTCGGACCACCGGCGGACACGAACTCGGACCAAGTGGCGAGAAGCTTGGACCACCGCGAACATCCATTGTTCACTTAAGATTTCATCTTCTCCTCCTTTCTTCTGTCCGGAGTTCGCAGATCTGAAATTACTGTGCAAATTCGATGATGACGTCGGCAAAAAAAATGTTGGGGAGGATGGTGGCTAGGGTTATATTTGCTGATGGTTGGAGCTGTGCTGGTCGGAGGTGGGGCTAGGGAAGGACGGATCAGGGTTGGGCTGGTTGGGGCTCGAGCTGGAAACGGTGTTGGGGGCTACAGAGGAGGGCGGGGGAGGTGGATGGGTGCTGGGAGGGGGCTGGGGCGGTGGTCAGCAGTGGGGAGGTTTGACTGTTTGAGGGCTGTGGTTTGGGATTTCGATTAGAGACGGGTCGGGGATGCTGGCCGCCGGAGTGAGTGTGGTGCTCATGTCACGGTGGCCATGGCGGTAGATGGCGGTGTTATCACAAATTTGCTTGAAAAAACTGTTGTTGGACTGTTTGTAACTGTAATTGTAATTGATCGGGTATGGTATTTCTAATTAATCGAATCGAGTAACTATAACTGTTAAAATTGAATAAATAAGAATAGATGAGTTGAATAACTGTAACTGATTAGGTTAAGTAACTGTAACCGGACAGGCGAACGTTGGTCACTGGACATACGGACGTTGGTACTGAAGGGGCGGAAGTCACTTTGTTATAGGGCGAAATTTTTGGTAACTAATGATTTTTGGTCACTGGTGAATTTTGGATTTTTGGTCACTAATATTTTTTTGGGATTTTGGTCACTAGCGGATTTTGGTCACTGACAGTTTTTGGTCACTATGGTGTTACTGGTCACTGTGACGTTACTGTAGCACTAATAGGGGTATAATAGTCTCCTAATCACTTTTTAGTCTTATTTTTGGGAATTTGGGAAAAGAGCAACTTTTTTGTCCATAGCTCTTTTTTTAGTAATATTTTAGACAAAACCCCTTAATATTTTATGCTTTTGCTAGTTGAGTATAAGAAAATTTATTGGCATGATATTTTCACTGGGAAAATATCCAAAATAAGATTAAAAAGGTTTGAAAATTTCAAAATAGGACAACCATGTTTTTATTCCCAAAATATGGGTAATTACTATCAAGTTTGGAAAATACTGTCATGTTTAAAGTTTGGTACTGCCAAGACATGACGGTAATTAATTCTATTTTCGAAATAAAAACATGATAATCCTATTTTGAAATATACAAACATTTTTTGTCATAATTAGGATAATTTTCCATTTTTATAAGGTGAAATTGAATTGAAGAGGTAGTCTTATTAATAAATGTGAACATCTAGGTTTATGATGGAATGAATTTCGTATTATTGGGTATTTGAATAGATCTTTATATCGAAACTTCAAACGAGTCCAGCCCAATATTGACGCCCAAGTCCACGTTGATTTCGAAGCCCTGATTGGTTTAGCTTTCTTCCATATAAACCGCCTCTGCCCTCTGATAAATAGACCTCATCGGAACACCCCTCCAAGCCTCGCCCTCTGGATCAGATTACCTTTTTCTGCTTAAATTTCCATTCGACTATCAGATCGCCTTACTCTCCTCAATTTTCCGTTCGTCGGATCCCCTTTCTCTCCATACTTTTCCGTTCGTCAGATCCCTTTTCTCTCCATACTTTTCCGTTCAACAATCCCTGATTTGTCGGGGTTCTCTATAATTTAGGTAAGCTTAATTTTTGTTTTATGTCATGAACCTACAGTATTGCTTTGTATAATCGATCCTTTTCTGTTTTGTTTCACGATTCAGAATGTGATTGAATTTTTAGGTTTTCTAGCATCCGTACTTATTTTGTTAAAAGTTTTGTTCAAACTACAAAAGCCGCGATTTTTTCTCACGTCGTTATGATTTGAAGCATATGTATTATGCTTCTTCGATATGGAATCCGCTCCTTTTGTTGCTTTAAATGTTTATTTGTGGATCTCAAGTTCATTGTGAATAGCATGATCGTCTGTAATGTTCAATCTTCTGTGTACATCTCAATCGAGTATCAATAATAAATGCAGCTGTCCGTGTGGAGATATTTTTTCATATCCGCGAATGTTTCATCCTGCGCTGTTTTCATTGTTCACAGAATTGTTGTTTGAGCCAAGACAGTTTTAGCCTCAATCGACCTGCCTGATGGCTTCTTTGGATATGACACTTGATGATATGATAAAGAGCAGACGTAATAGTGAGAGAGGCCAGAAAAGTCGGGGACGAGGCAGACCTCAACGTGGAAGAGGGGCCAGTGGATCATTTAGAGGTGGAAGACGTGTTGGAGCTCCTCCTGGTCGAGGTGCTCTTGGTGTTAATGCCAGACCATCAGCCCACACCATTGCCAAGGCAAGCTTGAAACTACTGGATGTCTTATGAATTCCTTAAATCGTTGTCTCTAGTTTGCATTTGAAATTCCACCATGAGAAGTTCTGTGACAATATTGGGTCAAGGGAGGTGCCCAATTTGGATCATCAACTATAATAAGCTGTTGTGCAAATTGTTCCACGCTTTTCGAGGTCCCTCATCATGTTTGGTTTGTCATATGGAATTTAGTCCAAAGTTTTGATAAAAGTTGGAGAGGATGGCTCTGCTCAATTGGGGACTATCACTCACTTGTTTATAGTGTACCTTACATTGAGGAGCTTCATTATTTGAAAATTTAACAACTTTCAACAATTAAACATACTTAACATCTAGAGGGCTGATTTTCTAAGTGATCTGTAAACCTCATTACCAAGTGTATGATGGATGCTGTTGCTAGCTGACAAATTTCTTGGGGGTCGCAGTATTCAGTTAGTATCCCAGTTCATGGCGTTTCGCAAAGGTGGCTTTCCTTCGCTGAACATCAGAACTGGAAGTGTTCCTTTTTTTGCACAAGCACCAATTAATGCGATACTTTGCAGTGGGTGAAAATCTTCAACTCCCATCTACACCTGTTTAACCATATTTGAATTATCTTTGCTAAAAATTATTATATTGATTATTAACCACATCTACCGTGTTGGCCATTTGATGATATCTGCTCCGTTCTAGAAGAATGGTGTATATCTATCACTTGTCGTAGTATGCTGATTCTACTCATCCACTGTGGATGTCATATTGGGTTTGCTTGCTTCAGTCTTTCCGCAGGGTGAAAAATTTGCCTTGGCAGAACGGTTTGTTTGAAGATGGCCTTAGAGCAGCTGGGGTGTCATCTGGATTTGAAAGTGGGACCAAGTTATATGTTTCCAACTTGCACCACAGTGTGACCAATGAAGATATAAGGGTACACCCTGTTTATTGCACATCCCTGTGCCCCCATTCCAGCTAGTTAATAATGTTGTTAGATTAATGATAGTGAAATCTTTGAATGCAGGAACTCTTCTCGGAGATTGGAGAATTGGTAAGGTATGCCATCCACTATGACAAGAATGGCCGCCAAAGTGTAAGTTTATTATCTCCTATTTCTTAGTGTTATATGTATCTTTAATTTCCATAAGACTAGTAACTTGAGATGACCTTTCCTTGCAAATATCAACAATGTTGATTATAATGTAGTTTCTACTGAATGACTCCAGATTCATGTATATATATTCAGTGTAATAAAATGTGCTGAGTTTAGAGACATTCAATCTGATTATACAGAGGACTTCTATGTACTTAGTCAATTGTCCTTGTTTTGTTTGAACCTTTTTATTGTTTTTTCAAGCTATAATTCTGTTCAAATAGTGTTGATTTGATTCCTAACTTTGATTTTTGGTATATATACAGGGTTCTGCTGAGGTCATTTTTGAGAGAAGAACTGATGCAATCCAAGCACTTAAAAGATACAACAATGTACAATTGGATGGAAAGCCTATGAAGATTGAAGTAGTTCCAACCAACCCGCAAGTTCCCTTGTTACCTCTTGTGAATGTTGTTGGAACAAAGAATGGAAAGAGGACAGTTGTCATGAAGTAAGACACTCATCTTCCTTGTGCAGTATTTTGTCTTTTTGCAAAACTTTAGCTTCACGTTGAAGCCTTTTGGATCATTTAAGATGTCTGGCAAAAAGAACAACTTTTTCCAACTTATTAACAGCATTCCTTCATATCGTACTTAAAATAACAAGTAGTCATTTGCAGTAGGGGACAAGGATCTGGAAGGCCTAAAAGAACTGGTGCTCCTCTTGCTAGTAACTGGGGTTCTGGGTATGTAGTTTCTTCAGAACAATTTATTTTCATGTACAAGATTGAGCCGGTGCTCCTCTTCCCAACTGTTTGCCTTCAATGCATTGCTAAAATGCCAAAAAACGAAATCAACAAATAAATATTGAGCTGTGGTATTCTTTTAATGCTCAGGCAAAGAGGCCGAGGTGGACGTGGTGGTCGTGGCCGAGGTGCTGCTGCTGGTCGTGGACGAGCTGCTGGGGGTGGTCGTGGAGGAGCAAGGAAGAGGGGTGGTGTTGAGAAGTCAGCTGATGAACTTGACAAGGAGCTGGACAGCTACCATGCTGAATCCATGCAGACTTGAATATACCTCGCTCCGGCCTCGAAGTCAAACCTCTCTCTAATCAGTGGATCCCTGTCTTTAAAAATTCAACAACGGTTATTAGTGTTTTTGTTCAGTGGTGCTTATTACTGATTATTGATGTTGCGAGAAGGATTCTAGACGTTTGCTTTCTAATCTTTGCCAAGTATTGCCATTATTTGAAATTTCGAACTGGAATGATGTGCATATTTTATTAGTTTCCCTAAGTCAAGAGTTAAGAGTGGTGAGTTTATAACCTTTGCTTGTACTCCGTAATATATTGAAGTACTCTAGTTCGTGTTCTGGGAAGGACAAAATTATTCACTTAAGCATTATGTTTATAATTATGTCGTTTGTAGTACGATATGATCACACCCAAATCATCAATTAGACTTCAATTTCAAAATTCTGAGATAAGGTCGCTTCAATTTCAAAATTCAAACCCTATGAAGCTTTGACTATATATGGAGGAAAAATTACTCATAAAGCTAAAAGTTTGAAGTTGTATGAGTTGAAGGTAGATTACATAATTACAGTTTTATCCGAGATCGATTTGAAAATTGATACAAATTTTCAAAAGAATATTTCTCATCACACGATAACCTTCTTTTTTACATTTAGAGCAACTGTCACCCTTCACACTTTGTGACAATTATGAATCGTGAAGAAAAATATTGATTTAACAAAGTAACAAACAATCGTTGAGCAATTATCTGAACAAAAAAAGAAAGAAAAATGCTATAGGCAACCATTCCAAAGAATCCAAACCAATCATTGGTCAACAACATCCCTGTTGAATTGCATCTTCCCCGTTTCATCTTTCTTGAAGAGCTTTTCAACCAACTCATCCCAGTTAGTTTTAGTCTTAAATTTCGACGACTCTTCACCCTTCTTTTCATCCCCTTCCTTGCTACTACTCTCCTTTTGAGAAGAGGAGTTTGCTGGTATGCCTAACATCTGCACCATCTGGGGTCCTTCATTGTGGTTCCCTAAGGATTCTGCCACCTCTTCTTCGGTTGAAGGTAGCGCATGAGGTATGTTCAGACTGACCGCTCTTTCCAGTGCATCCTTGTGTTCCTTTTTTAAAGTCTGCAGTCTTTCCATTTTCTGTACCTGAGGGGCATTTGTGACAACCGTCCCAGCTCTGGCCTCTTTCAGTTTCTACAAAAATGACATTTTAAAGAAAATGATTCACTTGACTAAATTAGTATGCATTTCCAGGAAGAGAAGTCCAAGAGCTAACAAAACATAATGTGATATGAATCTTACTTCTAATGCCTTTTCGCATTCTCTTTCTATCCAAATAATTCCATGATCAGATGTGGCATTGCAAGATAACACAATATGCTCAAATCTTCCATCAACAGGGATGGCAGTTCTTACTTCTGGAGGAAACCTCCCACATCTGTGTGTACCAAAATTTAAATGCATTTTCTGGAGCAAGGCAAGCTTTAACTTATTTATTGTAAGGTCAGGACTCTTGCAGAGGTAATTATGTAACAATGAATACGTGTTTATTGTAAAATTGTGTTGAACCAGTTTAAAGTGGGGGGATCAATGTACCTGCAGAATTTTCTTTCAACAATATGATACATTCGACCTGGTGCATATAGCCTTCTAGGATCTCTGAGCTTTCTACCCTCAGGTATGAAGGTATCCCTCAAACAAACTAGAAACAACAAGCATGGCAAACTGTTTAAAGCATTAAAGTCTGGTTTATTGCTTGAGAAGATATAGACCATGAAGGAGCGGAATAAGAAAAAAGTGAGAAAACTAACTCACCAGAATAAGGATTTGAATATATCTTCCAATGGAGTGGCAGTTCTAGGTAGGAAATCGTCCTACAAAAACAGAGAGATTAAAGACAGAGCCCCAAATTAAAGGATCAGATCTAATTAGTAAAATTATTGAATTCAGATCACAATCCTGCAAAGACACTCTTAATGATCACCTGCAACACGACGGAGTGTATAACGTCGGCATACTTGACGGCCAAGTTGAGAGACATGCACCGAGCTGGCGCCACCGCGTAGCAGATGATCAGATCCCTCGGAATTCCACCGAATTCGTCCCTGTGATTGACGACAATCATCGTGAGCAGCGACGCGACGCCGGATCCCAAGGAATGGCCGGCGAAAACCATCTTATAGCTCCTCCCGTTCTCCTCCCAAAGCTTCCTCAGAGTCTCGGACTCTTCGTTCAACAACCACTTCGCAGACATCAAGAGGCCGTAGTGGACATAGCCGCCGTCGAACATCTGCTTGCCGAGGCTGTTGTTGAGGAGGAGCTTGTAATCGTTCCCCTTGATCATGTTGAGGCCGCGGATGGCGAGGACGATCTGGCGGTGGTCGTGGTCAAGGTAGATCAGGTACGGCGGCGACGCGAATTCGGGGGGCTTCTCGTAGGTCACGCGCTTAATCACCCAGTCAGGGTTAAGACCGTAGCCGCCGGCGGGTGGAAACTTGGGATTGCGGAGGTCCTTCTCATAGACGGCGAGGATGATACGGCAGACACGGGGGATGGGGTCGAACTCCTCGTCGGTGGCGGCGGTCCACGTGGCACTGTCGTCGGAGCCGATATAGGTGCAGCGCTTCCAAGCCCACCGGAAGCAGCCTGCCACAAACACACACTCCACCCCACACGCCACTGACATTACAGAACGTATAAGCTGAGGAAGAATCAAACAAGAAATTGAGCTGAATTGACTAAATTCCCTGACGCTTTCAGCGAGACATAAATTCAGACCAATTGTAACTTAACAAATTACGATTTTCCTCGAGAACAGCTCTTCTCCCCCATTGCTGTTTGGAGTTGGGAGTATACTATAAGAAAGTTTTGGAAGCTTACTGATTAAGGAGAATATAAAATATTACTCCGTACTTACTGCGTAAGTAATTGCCCTTATAAAACATGAACCTATCTATCAAATTCAAACTTTTTTAAGTGCAAATTCAAATTACCTTTAATATGTTAAGTAAGATGTTTTTTTTATACTACCTCCGTTATCTTTTAATTGTGACATTAAACTTTTTGCACTATTTAAGTATTATACTTTGACTATATTTTATTTATTAATGCATTATAAATTAAATTTTAAAAAAATATTGTTAAATTCTTCTCATTCTAAATTTTCAAAATATGAATTTTGTTAATTTTTTACTAATAAGAAATGAAAGATATTAATGGTCAAACTTGTGTGTTGGCAAACGTGAAATATTGACTGTTGCAATTATAAAGGAACGGAGGAAATACTAAAATTTGTTGGTCTAGTCTGGTCTGGTATGATCTTGTCTGGTCTAATTTGATAAATGTATGGTCTATGTGTATTTTATAACTACAGAAGTATGGTTCGATATGATGTGAGAACGGAAAACTGTTCAAAAGAAACATCATAAACACCGGAGAATGATACTTTGTGTTATGCTTGTCTTAAAGTTTAAGTATTCTTTTCCATATTAGGTGTCTTCATTTTCATGTACTACTAAAACAATAAAAGAATCAATGTGGTTTGAGTTGTCTTACAGCTATCACCAGCCTTGTTGAAACTGACTCATTATCACTTGATATGTCGAGTGAGATTGTCTCTCCATGATAATGGCTGAAGTAAAAACAAGAAATGAGTCTTTCAAAAATTCATCAAGTTCTCAACACCATATTACAAAACAAATCATTCTCGTAAAAAAGTTAATTGTCATATTGGATGCACAATTTCTATGTTGTTGTACCGGCCCACAAAGAGCACCATGATATCAGTGTCAAAACATGGATGAACAGTACACGCGAATGAACAATGATTTTTTGTGTGTGTTTCAATAATAAGGTAGTGTAACTCGTGTTTAAAGAAATGTAATTCACGTTGATGAGAAATGTAACCGAGTCGAGTAAAAATGTAAGTTGTCTAAAACGAAATATAAGAAACAAACATTGATTTCAATGTAAACAGTGAAAATTTGATCCTAATTGCCCAATTACTTTTTGTAAATAGTGAATATGTTTTATTTTTAATATTAGGCTATGAAAATGATGTAGTACAGTCAAAAAATCATTTTTTATCATCAGCATATGTTTATTTAGTGGTGTAACTCGCGTGCATCGAAATGTAACGCATAAACAAATGTAACTCGCTAATAAGAAGATGTAAATTCATATAATATATATCAAATGTAAAAAAATGAAAATAAGGATTTTAATTGTTCAATTAATTTACGTAAAGAGCGAATATGTTTGGTCTCTTTAATATTATGTCCATACAAATATTTTAAAAAGGCCTTATTTAAGAGGCTCTGGCAAAAAGATAACTGCGCAGTTATATTCAAGAATTCATTTGAATGCCTTCACGATTGAAGTTTTAGCTGAAATTTGGTATGAGTAAACTAGACTTACTGAATAAGATGCTCAAAACATTTCATAAAAAAATTCAACCGGGAACCACCCCAAATGGCGATAGTCGGACAGAGTCTCTTAAATAAGGCCTTATTTGACCTTTTTTGGTTAGTACGTGACTTTATTTGCCCATTTTCTCTTTATTTTGTGATGTAACTTGTGTTATGAAAAATTTAACTCGCGTTGATGGATATTCTAACTTAGGTATATGCAAAATGTAACTTGTTGAGGCAAATCCAAATGTAAGTCGCACATAGGAAGATGAAACCCACGCATAAAAAGGTGTAACTCGCGCACAATAAAATTTAACCACTCATATGAAGATGTAATCTCATATTTTATCAAATATAAATCGAAATAAACAAATTTAATGTCTTAAAATACTAAAAGCATACAAAAGAGATATGAAATATAGTATAGAAAATATATACTACAAACAGTGTATAATATCAAATGTAAAATGTAATATACTTATTTTATTTAGATTAATATTACAAAAAAGTGTATGATACAAAAATAACATTACAAAAAAAATGTACTACATATAATATTTTTTATTAAGAGAAAATTTTATTGAATCATTAAACAAAGGAGTACACGAGGGAAAAAAAAAAAGAGAAAGAGAAATGAAAAGAAGAAACAACAAAAAAGAAAACAAAGTCATAGATGACCCAACCCGAAGTACCCAAGAGACCTAAAAAAGACAAACAAACAAGACCGGCCAATAGACCCAATCAACTCAATCTATATGGTCAAATTCCAGATGGAATTGAGATCGAGTCTTTATGGTATGCGACCGTTGGTGCATTTCCCTATATAATTTAATTTGAGTATTTAAATTCGATGTAGGGCAAACAATTATCCTTTGTGACCAGCCTCGCTTTAAAACAAATATCCTGATTTGTAACGGAGTCCCATAGATCTTCCCTTGATGCCAGAGAAGTCTTTTTTCTCACTTTCCGAAGCATGACCAAAAAAATAATCCCCAAAGAATGGATAGCTCTGCTCAGTCTCAATATCAAGCGCTGCAGGGTGCTGATTGCCTGTAAATATATCTCCCAAAACACTAGCTTCCATATTGGAGTGGTTTATGGCTTTTTCTTCTTGAATATGTCTCTGAATTGAATCACGCTCCTTCAGAAAAGAAGTTGTGATCCTCTTAAATTCTCTAATTAGAAAGCTAGAAAGAGAGTCCACTAGGGCCGCACAAGAATAACCCGAACCCGCGTAACCCGCCCGACCCAACCCTACCCGATCACTTTTAATTGAGTATTTGATTTTTAAAAATATTCACGGGTTAAATATGTACGAACCCGCACATAATGGGTAGGGTTGCAGAATTAAAATCTCAACCCCGATCGTACCTAACCCGACTGAAAGTTCAATTTATTATTATTATTATGCTACAAAGTTTAGTTGAATAATTTCTATTCAAGACAAATGTGCTTTATCTAAGACTATGATCTTAGCATTATAAACATTTACCATTTTGACTAGGTGATTAGTACACACATGTAACACTTCATAATTTTATATAGTAGAAATTGGATAATAGTTTATGCTTCGGGGACGAAGCGTTCTTTTAAGGAGGGTAGAATGTGACACCCCGAAAATTTAAAAAAAAAATATATAATAATAAATATAAATTATATCAGTCAGATAAAATGTTACGAAATTAAAGTGGCAATTTAATAATTAAGTGAATGACATAAAGTTTTAACATCAGTGACATTTTAACAATTTTAATTGAAGGGTATTAATTATAAATATGTGCACCTAAAATACACTAAATACCATACAAAAAAAAGGTGTTAAAAAGAGTTTGACTTTTTCCAACCGTATATACATATACTTACGCACACAATAATGCATAGGTAATAATAGATGGTAGTTAATAATATTGGAGAATGATATAAAGAAGTGTACGTCCAACACATTCACATGCATGCGTACTAACCATATAGGATCACGTTAGCACAAGGAGTAACAATAATGTACACATGCAATGTACTACATACGTGTGAGATCAACAACCAAGGAACATAAGCACATGTTGAGTGAATGTACTCACATGATAGTAATCGGCACATGGTGTGTTTGTGGCCGATAAGCCTGTAAGCCAATACATATAACAGGATTATTCGAACTTTGGAATGGAAACCCACATGCACAATTATTCAACAAGCCACTACGGCACTACATGTCTAAGCTAATTACCTAGCTATATGTACTCGTTCGTTTGAACAAAGGCCAGACGGAGTCGCCGCCGCCCAACACAACGGCTCACCGGAGAATAATCTTTGACCATGCGGCCATTACAATGGGAGGGGCTTCTGCATCATGGAACTAATTACTATCCTAGCCTCCCTCTCGACGTCGTCAGAGAAGAAGCACATGGGGAGAACGCTGGTGCCACCCCTGCGTATCCTGCGTCGTCCCGTACCAGATATCTCAAATGTACCTGCGTCGTCGCCGTACCGGGGAGCTGAACTGTTCTGTCTCCTAACGTCACACCGGAGAAGGACCCGCCAGAAAAGGAGAAGCTTGCCAGTAAGTCAAGCCGGAGGAAACTGGGTTGTTTCCGATGGACCAAGTCGGTGACGTCAACCTACCGCCGCCCTAGTCCGCCGGTACCTGCGCCGGGAGTGGTGGAGGCGTGGAGTTCGCCGTCTTCGTCGCAGCTAGGACCGTACCCCTCTTCCCGTTGAAAGAAAACGGTGAATGCATACGGTATATGTCCGTACTTCTACTCTTTTACACGAGTACTAGTACGTATGCGTTTTCACATGGATTCACACCTTTTATTAATCTAATAAACTTGGGTTGTCTAGATTAGTGGAAAGTGAGGGGCGGATCCAGGAATTTGAGATGCTCTGGGCTGAATAGGAATTATACTAGGGTCAAATATGAACGGGGTGGGCTAATTGTGAAAAATGAAAAAAATTACACTAAAATAATTGAAAAATTTCTAAGTTGCCCTGGGCTTCAGCCTACCATAGCCTGTACATAGATCCTCCCCTGGTGGAAACTGTCTCTGAATTGGTTATTATTTGGGCTGGTCAAGGATTCTTAATATTTGGGCGGAGATAATACTACACCGTAATAATGATAGTAATGAAATCAATTGAGTAGGAGAAATTGGAGCAAACGAAAAATATATAATAAAATACTAATTTTGAAATTTTAATAGTTAAAAGGAGATTGCGGTGAAGACCGAAATAACAAGTTGAATAAAAGTGCCACGATTCGAGGTAAGTTTCTCTGCCGATCCAAAATGGTTTCCTCGTATTATATGTTATTATGTGATTAAAGTGTGAATTTTGAATATGTATTATTTGAAGTAACATTAAATTATATTATTTGAGAAAGTTGAGATATGGGGTACTAAATATTTTTAAATACCTTTGAGACTATTTAGAGAGATTGAGAAATATTTTTTGGAAGTACATCTAAAGTCAAGATAAAATTTACGTTTTCATAAGAAGTGAGCACCCGGGAGAAATCCGTGGTGTCGGTTT